GTCAGAGGTTTTCAATACTGGAATTTCTGCCCTATTAACTAAACCAAACCTGTGAAATCCAGGACTGAAATCCAAGGAAACTTGGTCATCATTATTGCAAAAATGGAACCAAAAGCCTTATGGCAAATACTGCCACTTGTAGAAATTCTAGTGCTCTTCCCATTCTTGCAAACTGTCCAATTTCAAAAAGATGAATTTATTTTACAAAGAAAGGACACAATTTAAATCCCATTGATCTGAGCATGTTCACAGTTCTGCAGGGATGGACTCAAAATGTTATTTAGATGAACTTCTATGGAAAAGGACCAGTTAATAATTTCATTTCTACTCTCAAGCAAAATATCAACACTTATGAACCAATCTTTAAATGGCACAAATCCTGCATCTTCATATCAATGTAGGATGGCAATGAAGAATATTTTCTTAAAAAGTCATTATGTTTTATTACAGAAAAATCCTGGCTCTTTTCATTGCAGAAAATGAAAGAAACATAAAAATAAAAATAAAAAAATAATAATAGAGTGGGCAAGATTCAAAGACCTTTGTGTACAATTTACATTTTATATGTTACATGTAAAAAGTGCTTGTAGGACATACAAATGAGAACAGGTTGTGACATGAATAAACACAGAATCCAAGCAACAGAAATGAGATCCTCTCACAAAAGGAAAACTTAAAGAAATCTCAAATTCTTCTCTCAAGAAGCTTCTCATCTTCATCAAATATCAAAATGTGCACAGCTCCTGCTGGACATTTTGATGTAAGAAATTGGAAGGAATCAAAGAACCGGAAAATAAATCTGTTTTGATATTTAGGCTCAATCTGTCTACGACCTGATCTGCAAAGATGCTGTTCTTCATGTTTTACTAAAAAACCCCAATCTAACAAATGCAGAAAACCTAATTTGGTTATATGGGTGTTTGGCTTTCTGAAGAAAACCCCAATTATTGGACTGTATTTAATGGAGGGTTAATTAAATCTGTCATGGATAAATTCCAGGTCAGATCCTACTTGGGTTTCTATTCAGAATTTCCAGACATGATGTTCTCCAGCCATGAAGTCAGGATGAGGAATCTTCATCCCATCTCTAGAAAACTGCACATGGCAAACCTCCCCCAGAGAAAACCCCCAAGATAAAATGAGGAATGGAGCCTGAGGGGAAGTTTTGTTGCATGGGAGGTGCAGCTGCCCCGTGTGCTCTGAGGGCTGCTCAGCCCAATCCCCACAGGAGCTGTCACTGGGTGCCACCAGTGCCCAGCAGAGAGGGGGACACACCTTTATTTCTGGATCTGGAGAGGCTGATTTTCCTTTTTGGGGTGTCCTGGGCTGCTCCCTGCTGTGCTCCAGCTGTGCTGGCCCTGCCCCTCACAGCCTCCATGCTGCCAGGGGGGCTCCTGCCAGCCCCAGCTCCATTCGGGGTTCCTGAGGGGCTGCTGGCAACCAGAGCAGGGACTCTGGGGTTCCCACATTCCCCCCAGTTCCCAGGGCTGGGACAGGCTGGCTCTGGGGGCTCAGTTCTCTGCTCCTCTGGCTCTGCATCATCATACAGTTCTGGGGTGTAGTAAATGCTCTCATCCTCATCCTCATCCCCATCTAATGCTGAAGGCTCAGCTCTCCCTGCTGCTGGAGGGAGCTCCCTGCAGGGCTCAGCTCCAGGATGGCCTCCAGCACCGGGGGCCTGAGGGCTCTGAACTGAAACACGGCTTGTTTCCAAACACGATTCTGCTGCACTTGGTGTGTGCTCTGCAATTAACGCTGATTGGCACTGATTGGGATGGTCAGCAGGGTCCCTGGGCCCGCTCCCATGCTCCTGGCTGCTGCTGCCTGTGGCCCTGCAGTTCTGGGCTGCAGGAGTTGCAGTCAGAGGCTCAGGGCAGCATTTCTGCTCCACACCATCAGCACTGCTCCAACCATTCACTTCTTCTCGCTCTGCTTTGATTGCTGCCATTTTGGGGGTGCAGTCCATGTGTGTCCTTTTCTGCTTTACATGGTGGGAATGGCTCTCTACATCAACTTTCTGCTCACCTGTCACAAATCACAAAACAAATTAATTGCATCTGATTTACAGCATGTTTAGCACATCAGAATTACCACTGTTTCAGAAGGTTTACAGTGATTTTACAACATTCATTAAAAACAATAATACAAACAAAAGCCCAGATGTTATAACTATACTTGTACATGAATCGTCTTAATTAAATAAATAGATTAACAGGCACATAAAGGTAGAGTATGAATGGATTGAAATTTATAATCTTTATTATTGGGCTTTTTCTTGATTGAAATGAAATCAGAACCTTTCCTAAAATTTAGGGATGGATTTTACTTGTGAAGTTGGAACCAGAGGAGATCACAGGGAAGGTGTCTCACAGCAATGCCCAAACAACAGATGTAGCTTGAACCAGGGCTCAACTTGCACTAATGCCAATCTTGCTGTGTTTCAAATGTATTTTAAATTATCTTCACAGTGCTCAATGGAAAAAGAAATTAAAATGAAACCATTTTTGATTGTACTATAAACTTATCAAAGATTACTCTTTTAAGACAACCAGATGGAACAAGAATTAATTTCAGTCTGTTGAGCACAGCTCCTCCACATTTGTGAATAATTATCATTTTCCACTATAGCACTTCTGTAATTTTAAAAAACCTGCAGAAAAGCTTCAAGTCCCCATTTGAAACTGCCAGTGGGAATGAACATACTTGGTTTGACTGCTGCCATTCTGTCACTGGGCTGATCCCAGGCTGCGGGGTGAACTGAGCCGATGGTTGTAGTGCAAAGAACTTCTGGGTCCAAACTGTGGCTTGTGGCAGGAACAGCAGGGCACAGAGCAGAGCTGCTGTGCTGTGGGGAGCCCGGGGAGGGG